GCAGAATTAAAGGAAATGAGGGAGTATATTGATAAAAACCTGGCGAGGGGCTTCATAGAGCCGGCACGCTCCAAAATAGCAGCACCTGTAATATTTCAGGGGAAAAAGGATGGAGGTTTACGGTTATGCGTTGATTTCAGAGGACTTAACGCGGTATGCGTAGAACCCATATATCCGCTACCTCTGATGAAAGATCTCCTCGCCCACTTAGCCACTGGCAAGATTTTCACAAAATTAGATCTTCGCGAGGCGTATTATAGGGTCCGGATCAAAGAAGGAGACGAGTGGAAAACCACCTTTAATTGTCCGTTAGGGAGTTATCAGTTCAAAGTGATGCCTTTCGGTCTACAGGGGGCTCCGGCTGTGTTCATGCAGCTAATTAACGAAGTGCTGCATGATCATCTTTATAGGGGTGTACTTGTATACTTAGATGATATACTTATATACTCGAATACACTGGAGGACCATATACGATTAGTGCGCACGGTGTTGAGAAAATTACTGGATGCCAAACTGTACTGTAAAGTATCAAAATGTGAATTCCACAAAGACCGTATTGATTATTTGGGATTCCGGGTTTCCGCGATGGGGATAGAGATGGATCCTAATAAGATACGCAGTGTATTAGAATGGCAGGCCCCAAGAACTCGTTGTCAGCTATAGCGGTTTTTGGGGTTCGCTAATTTTTACCGTCAGTTCATACCATTCTTTGCTGACGTGGCTCTACCATTGACTCAGTTATTACGTACCAAGCCAAACACGGGAAAACCAACACCAAAACCTCGTCCAAAGCAACCGTTGGAATGGACTATGGAATGCCAACAGGCCTTCGAAAAGTTAAAAAGCTTGTTTGCACAGGAGCCGGTGTTGGCACATCCTGACCCGGATAAGCCCTTCATAGTGCAGGCTGACGCTAGCGATGTGGCCGTCGGTGCTATCTTGTTGCAGCGTAATGAGAACAACATGCTACAGCCGTGTGCTTACACTTCAAAAAAATTTACCGACACAGAACGACGGTGGGCAGTGTGGGAAAAAGAGGCCTTTGCAGTGAAATGGGCATTATCCACCTGGCGCCATCTGTTGGAGGGGGCTCAGCATCCTTTCGAAGTTTGGACAGATCATCAGAATCTAACAGTGCTTCAAACACCAAGAAAACTAGCACCGAAACATGTCCGATGGGCACAGTATTTCCAACGTTTCAAATTTCGTTTAAAGGTTGTTCCGGGTGGAAAGAACTTTTTAGCAGACGCACTCTCCCGAATGCCCCAATATGATAGCAAGAGAGAACAGGTGATTCAAGCTGTCATACCCCATTGTGGTAGGGAATCCGAAAAGACAGAAGTCTGCACAAAACTAGTAACTTTTGAGGAGGAAATAAAAACAGCTTTAGCAACTGATCCCTGGATATCAGCAAATCCCGGTATATTGACCCACCGTAATGGTTTGGCCTGGTATGGGGATAAGTTATATATCCCTCAGGAACTGCGGAGTCGGGTATATCAGCAATGTCATGACTCCAAGGTAGCAGGTCACTTTGGTTTCGTAAAAACATTGCATCTAGCGAGACGGCGCTTCTGGTGGCCAAGCTTAAGAAAAGATATCGAAACATACGTAAAAGAATGTAGAGTTTGTGCACAGGCGAAGGTAATACCTAAAAAGCCAATGGGGATGTTACAATCTGTGTCTGATCCGGTAAGGCCATGGCAAGACATTGGCATGGATTTCCTTGTGGAGTTACCAAACATAAAAGGTTACACAGTTATATGGACAGTAATAGATTTATTTTCTAAACAGGCCCATTTTATACCCTGCAAAGGGCTACCGTCGGCAACACAACTAGCGAAACTATTTATACAACACATTTATCGATTACATGGAGCTCCCCGACGAATTATCTCAGATCGTGGAGTACAATTCACGGCTCGATTCTGGCGTCGCTTTCTAGCCTGTCTTGGAACCACACAAGGGTTGAGCTCCGCATACCATCCATGTACCAATGGGGCGGCGGAACGAGCTAATGCAGCCGTTACACGATATCTCCGTTGCTATGTTTCTCACCAACAGGCGGATTGGATGGAGTATATACCTTTTGCCGAACTAGCCTACAACAACGCAGTGCATAAGAGTACCGGGTTGACTCCCTTCCAAGTAGTATATGGTTACGATCTGAATCCCTTATCAAGTTGGGAGTCATTGACGTCCCTGGTCCAGAAACCAGGAGATTGGATGTCCCGTGCCAGCCAAGTGTGGCATACAGTAAAGAAAGCGCTGACACAGGCGGGACAGATAGCAAAGGAACAAGCTGACAAGGGTCGCAGAAGATCTACCCAATTCCGAATAGGTGACCAGGTGTATCTCTCGACCAAATACCTTAAGTTACAAGTACCCTGCAAGAAGCTGGCGCCGAAATACGTTGGACCGTTGCGCATAATACGCATCATTAATCCTGTTACGGTACAACTACAACTGCCGGCCTTCCTTGGCAAAATACATCCAGTCTTCCACGTGAGTTTGTTAAAGCCGGTAGGAAGAGGCAATCATACGGATCCTCCTGGGCCTGTAGCGCCGGGACAGTATGAAATACAGGATATAGTAGATTCACGATGGCGGGGGGGTGAGCTATACTACCTGATATTATGGAAGGGATATCCCTTGTCCGATGCTTCATGGGTGCAGAGTGAACAGGTCTTCGCCCCGAGGCTGCTCCGGAGATACCATAAAATATGGCCACATAAGCCGAGGCCTAGTGGGGGAGGTGAATAATGTACGGATACCAATATCCCAATGATACTTTAACCTGTGATGTTTTATTCCAGGGGGTCCTGTGGTGAGGGGAGGCCGAATGTCAGACCCAGAGCACAACTTACCGACCACGCTGCTAAGCGCTCCCGGTAATACCGCGAGTCAGCTGGTCGGCGCCGGTTCCAACGCGCTGCCGACGCTCAGCTGATGACGATCTGCCGGCGACGCGCGCTTAGGGAGTATACCGGTCGGCACTACTTCCCACGGACTGCCGACGCTCATTTGATGATTGCCTAGCGCGCGTCTACGATTCGGATTGGCCGGCGCTACTACCAGCGGACTGCCGACACCCAGCTGATGGTGTTTTGCGGAGATACGCGTATGGAGATTGTTCTGGACTGCTTTACTGTTTTCGGGAAACCAAGATACTGGGTCTGACAGACATGAGGGCGTGGTGTGGGCGGAGTGGTGATTGATAATTAGGGTGTGGACTATGGGTGTGGTGGTGGGGTTTATTTAGAGCGCGGGAATGAAATGTTCTTCAGAGCTGACTTTCTTTTCAACTTAGTAACGAAATAAATCGTACTGCTTCGTTGAATCCTGCATCGTTCCTGGATATGGGTTTTGTGCCTGTAGTTAGGACGTGCTTACACATGCTAGGACTTATTTTCCAGTTGGGTCTTATTGTTGGGGAAACGGTATATTGAATAATTGTTCTAATAACTAAATACAGTTTGGTTCAATATAGGTTTACGTTACCGATGTGATTCTGAGCATTGTTTAGGATTAAGCCTAATATTTACAGAAGACTTCTTCACTACCTCTTGGAAGGCAAAACATTTAGCATATCCAGATATTTGGTCTCCTTATCAGATAACATTCATTTGTCCATTTATAGCATTCATTATATGAGTGCAGTTTGAGTCACAGTTTTTTTTCTGTATCTTTCTAATGTCATTTTCCTTCTGAAACAACTTGAGCTTCTTAATTCCCACTGGAAGGAATAGACAGTATATCATGCAACATAGAGATTCTGTGAAAGAATGTGCTTCACTTCTAGTTTACAGATTGCTTCTTTGAGACATGGAGCCACTCTATGCAATAATTGCTGCCCTTTTTATGACTTATATCTCAACAAAAATGTATCCAATTGCTTCTCTTCATTTCTGTAATACTTGCCATATAATTGTGTTCTCTTCTAGCATTAAACACATCTCATTTTGACTCTGAGACTTCTGGGATTTGCATACAAGTGCTTACACACAATATTTTCATTTAATTTTTCCCCACATGGCCTTTTTGATCAACTACACTAATTTTCTAGATGTGCAGTCTCCCCCCTCCCTTAAAAATTATAATAATTTATATGCTCATCCTCTGGAGTGGTTTCTTCCTGTACCAAATGCTCCTTACATTCTGTCATCTTCCCCCCCCCCCAGAATTAGTTTGAAAGCTGCTTTGCCACATTTTTTAAAAATATGTGCCAGCAATCTGGCACCTTCTTGGTTTATGTGGGCTATCCCCCATTTGCAGAGACCTAGCTTGTTTTAATGTTTCACAAATCCAAACCTTCTTCCCAGCATCTTCTCATCCAGGCACTAAGGCTGTTCAAGTTCTGCCTGTTTAATGGAGCTGGCATGTGAAACTGATAGCATTTTGAAGGAATCTGCTTTGACAGTCTTGGATTTCAGCATTCTATTCCATAAATTTGGTTTCCAGGACTGAATGATTATTTTTTGCTTTCATTAATGCCACTGTGTAACATGGCCACATACTCTTCTCCAGCACTATCTGGCAGACTACAATACATGGTGTGTTATACCCGCAAGTTTTAATTCTGTCAGGCAAATATCATGTAACTGAATGCCTAGTGCTTAGCCACCCATCTGTAGTAGAAGTTATAAGTACAGCAAATAAATGTAGGTTCATCCCTTGTCTTTTATGCAGCATATCAGTACCACTTACTTATAAAAGTAAGTGTTCTAAAATACATCTTTTAATAAACCCCCATTCCATCCCCACAAACCCAGGAGTATCAATCTAACTTGGTATACAGATTTGGATAAATGGTTGGGATGAGGATGGACCCTTGCATTATTCTAGGAGAGTGAATAAAAGCACCCATTTGTGCGCCTATTTGTGCAAAAATATTGCTCAGCTATAAAAAAACAATATATTCTGCATGTGTTGCCTTTTAAAATATTGATAAGGTTTTTAGGCAATTCTGAAAATATTTAATTGGTACCTGCTTTTTCTAGATCAGAGGAACCTTGGTATGTCCATGAGAGTAGAGCGTTCTACTCTGGATCAGGTGAAGAAACGTTTTGAGGTGAACAAGAAAAAAATGGAGGAGAAACAGAAGGATTATGACTTTGAAGAGAGGATGAAGGAGCTCAGAGAAGAGGTGAAGTATTACCCAGAAATTAAACAGGACATGATTGTAATGGAATACATATTAAGCTGATAGGTGTTCTTCTATTATGATTATCTTGTTGAAGAGTCATTTTTACATTGCCTTTTAAAAAGATGCCCAGCAATAATGGTGATTGTCATTCTAGATGGAATTAGACCTTTGTGTCAAATTCAGCATATTTACTATTTTGATATTGGCTCAAAAGTTGCTTGTCTTGATAATGATCAGGAAAGTTATTTTTGTTCCTTGATTTCCCCAGTGAAATAATGGGCTGAATATAGCATTCAAATTTCTCTTACTGTATTTAATTGGCTTTGCAGGACAATCTGGTGAAATTGTATATGAAAACTTCTAGTGATTAGAAAGGCTGTATATTTTGGTCATTTTCTTCTCTTTTTAAAAACCTAGATGTAAAAAAATTAGAATTATATATAATATAGAAATATTATAGAGGCAGGTATGCTGTCTGTTCTGTTCAATAAAACAAAATAGATTTTTAAACATTTCTTATACCTAAAACTGAAGTTGGAATATCTGAGGAAGATTTCCAGAAGTCATGGGATAATCTTTAATACCACTCACAGGTACTTGCACTTCCTAGAAACAAAAGAAACCATTTGTCCTTTATTGCATGCATATATGCATATTTAATGCAGGTGGCAAAATTAAGATAGTTTTGCAAATTATTTTTACTATTTAGCATAGAAGCTCAATGGGGAAGGGAGGGAGGGAAGGAAGAAAGGAAACAGGGAAACAGAGAGAAAGAAAAAAGAGAAAGAAAGAAAGAAAGAAAGAAAGAAAGAAAGAAAGAAAGAAAGAAAGAAAGAAAGAAAGAAAGAAAGACCTTGCAAAGCATCTTTTTTTAACAAGGGGCAATTTGGGATATTATTATGCTATCTTCATCCATTTGAAAGTGACCTACATGATGACCCCTTGCCATGTTTCCTTGCAACATCTCTTCTCCTGCCCCCCTATTGTTAATTAGAATACAAAAGAGTGACTGGCCCAAACCACTCAGAATTGAGTATCTGAATAGGAACTTGAACCTGTTCTTCTGGCTCTTGAACCATTGCTGTAAGAATGCAAAGTGGGGTTTTTGGCAGGACATGGATTGATCATCTTTATAAAATGGGAGATGCAGAATTTGCCTTTAGAATTTTGGTAACAAAAAACAATATAGCAGTCATGTACATGAATATATGATTTTATTCAAGTCACCCTAATAATACCTCCAAGCCATGTTTTGGATCTCTTGGCTGTGTGGGTAGTTAATATAAAAAAGACAGCTTTTGCAGCTTTTATAACTGCTGAGAAACCGTTAACCAAAGTCCCACTTCAACATCTCCCAACACAAGCATGGCTGTTTTCCAAGTCTTGCAATCACACAGAACAACAAAATATTTTGATTAGAGCTGTAGAAGTCCTTTGATGCCAGAGCCATTCAAAACACAGCTTATGTTCTGCTGAGCAGCTGTCATCAGGCTGTTCCAAGAGCTATCAGCTGCTGACATTGCCTTCTGGCATCATTCAGTACCACATTTGTAACAGGGCATTAATACAGAATCCACGTGATTGTTTTCAAACAAAGCTGTATTTCTATCACTCTTAATTTTGGATGAAGTCTTCAGTATTGGTTTAAAAGCAGATGCTGACAGCAAATGGTGTTCTCCCATATAACCCGCATCTTCTCTTGGCACTTTGGTTTGTGCGTCTTGGGTTGCTTTTCTTTCATTGTTGCTTTGGGATGAGCCATTTCTCTTCCACTCGTTTTTTTTTTCTTCTTCAGACCAGAAAGCATGTTGTCTCAGTTGCCCAATTTCTGAGGTTTGTCTTTCTTTTCAAAGATTTTGATTGTGCAAGCAACAAGTGTGGATAAAAAGAGTTATTTCCTGTGTTGCAGGAGGAAAAGGCCAAAGCCTACAAAAAGGAAAAACAGAGGGAGAAGAAAAGGAGGGCAGAGGAAGACTTGACATTTGAAGAGGATGATGAAATGGCTGCTGTAATGGGTTTCTCTGGTTTTGGCTCAACTAAGAAAAGTCACTGATAAGAAACATTATTTTGGATGGCTACTGTTTCTGCCCTGATGATGCTTCAAAATCCTAGAAAGACTTTGCAAAGAACTTGTATCTAAATAACCTGATACAAGTTGGGAAACAATTCCACACTTCTCGTGTGGGGCTGCTTCTGCCCTCCAACAATTAAAACTTCCTTGGTTGAGAAGATAGCACCACATTTGCCTGTGTGTTGGTAACTCTAAATCTCAAATAAAAATACTATCAAATAATATCTCCCCTCCCTTGATCCCCCGACAATATTTAAGGATACATCTTTTTTCAAGATCAGCTTGAAATGCGCACACACACTTTCACACAGAATTCTGGGAATATTATAGAGTAATTTTTAAGCACTAAATTTCTCTTGGCCTTGTCTACAGCTGCAGTTCTCTGGTGAAAGTTCTGCTTGCTTTTTACTTTGTATTGTGTGCATGAGAGATATGCTACTGGGTATGCTTTTTTCTTTATAATAAACTCATAAAAATCTAGTGCAATGGGTTTTTTAAAACTTTTATAAAGTGTTTATATACAGGGTGGGGAGGGGATTGATAGATTCATCTACGCTATAATTTTTCAGAACTCACAACAGATTATTATATTGAGCATGTTATTGTCTCCAGCGTTAGCTTGCTGAAATGTTTTTTTTTTTTAAATATTTTCAGTTGGTAACTTAAAAGGATCAAGGTTCTATTTCAGGAGTGTCAAACTGCTGGCCTGCGGGCCAGATGTGTCATGGTGAAACCGCGCCCACCCCATTTCTGGCAATGGAAAAAAGTCGCAATACATCGCAACACGTGACGTTGCGAGTTTGACACCCCTGTTCTATTTGATCTCCTTTTATTGATATAGGTAGTAAATTAATGGATATCTGCAAATTTGGTAAGATTAGGCTGATGTGCAAAAAAAAAATTTCTGAAAAAAAAATAGATGGTGCTCTGCCCTAAAAAATTTTCTCATCAAGAAGACATTGCCCCAATAAGGAATGCCTGTATTTAAAAAAATGAAATCTCCAATTTAAAGATTTTCCAAGGTTAGAATAGTAAAATGCCCTTTGGGCTTCATGCAAGTGTTGAGAAGGAATCCCAGATGAATCTCTTTTCTATTAAAGTAGAATGAGCCTTGCCAGTATCTTGCCACTGGCCATATTGAATAGATATCTCTGAGTTTTATCAGAACGGATGGGGGTTTGATAGAGAAGAAGGAGCTTTCTTGCCATCTTGATTCAGAGTGGCGAAATGTTATCAGTGCTGCTCTAGCTGCTGTTTATGCCCCATGTCATTTTCATTGCTTTCTTAATTTTAGTTCAGCCAACCCAGCTGTGACTCATTCATCGGTTTAGGAGGATTTACATCTAGCATGACTGATTTTCATAGTTTCCCCCTTATAGTGATGGGATCGTTGTTCTTGCTTTTCTCCTCACTTTAATTAAATCTTACGTTCTTTCAAATACAGGTAGAATTAATCCTACAATGCTTTCTGCTGTTTTAATTCCTTAATCTTAGAGTGCTGACAGCTTCATTGCTTCAGAAATTTCCATTTCAATTCAGATTATAATCCCCATTGAAGATGTCATTGAAATGATACGCGCCTATAGCACTGCTAGCAGAGATTCAAATGTCCTTGGAGACTTGATCCTTTAAAATAAAATAAAAAACCTGCTTAATGTGCCTCAGATTCCTTCCATGCACTAAAGAGAAATGAACATTTAATTCCAACAGTGTCCCTATTTGCATTCAAACCATGAAATCAAAAACGAAACCTATGACTAAATATTCTAGACAATCTGAAGAGAAGAGGTCCAAAAAACAAAGGGGGTTACAATGCTGTGTTAATTCTTTTTATGCAGATTAAAAATATGGAACATTTGAATAATTTTACCTAGCTAGAAATGTTGCAATGTGCTCATTATTGTACCTTGATCTAATTTGGTTAGTACTGATGAGAAATAGTGTAATCCAGGAGATCTCTGATACAGGTGAGCAGTGAATATGCTGTGTCCTAGTGTTATATGAATTTCAAAGAGATTCCACTGTTCTACATATTGTTAAAAGCTGTGGCAATTGAAGCACAGTCCTTTTATCTGCACTTTATGGGTGGGGAAAATCAATGACTACTTAGCTCTAGTGGTGGATATATTAACTTTTAGTCTCAGAGATTGACTAGTATTGCTGGGAAATAAATGTGAATGGCATTCACGTCTTACTTACGAGTTTCCATATATGTTTGAAATTTGTGGAATCAGAATGCTGTTCTAAATGGGCCTTTGATTTGATATAGTATTGCTCTTTTTGTGTTGTTGAAAAGGTTAACATAGAGATGTTTGCTTTTTTAAGCCATGCAGTACAGAAAATTAGCATGGCACATTAATGTTGTACAATTTTCTACTCTAAGTTTTGATAATGTATTGTTTTATCAATTTTTAAATAATTATCTTAATGAAGAATAACATACCCAATAAGCTACAGAATCATATCAATTGCTAGTTAATATGACAAAAGGAGAAGAAACCCCTCTGCACAATATGGTATGTATTTGTGCATCAGTGTGGGTAGAGAGAGGAATGTAATGTCTATGGTGTTTTCTTCTCTGTTCCCTATTAGAAGCCTTTTACCTATATTCAAGCCTAAGGGCATCTTCCTCCATGGGGCCAGAGCATCTGCCTGCACATGCAATATTTCTGCCAGTTTCTCTTATCCTGGCACTCGAGGTTTTCTCCGAGTGGTGGTGGGGGAAGTGTCTTTGTCTTGGGCACTTGCTGAGAGCAATGGAGTGTGTTGGTACAGAGATACAGACTCCTGCTGGATTCCCAGCAGCAGGAGCTGCCTCTAGCCAAGAATGCAAAACACGTTTCCTTGAAGGAAATAATATTTAGACAAAAATCTAGAGAAATGTTTTTCTGCAAAAATCATTAACCCTAAGTTCCCCATTCACCTTTTTGTTTGCTGAAAGTAGCCCTTTGATTTCCTGCTGCTCACATCACAGTTCTGTATACCAACCTCTAATCATCCAATCGTAGTTCATCTCCTCTACCTGCTGGAGTTCCTTTGTTGCCTTTTTCATTTCTGTGTGTGCCATGTTCTTTCCAGGGAGCCAAGAGCTGCATAGGCTGATACGGGTGATTTTTTTTTTTATCTGATTCTATCTTGAATGGATGCTGATTTGCTTCCTCATTGGTTAGGCAGAAAAAGACTGGGTGAAGTCTGTATTATAATTTCTCATTACGGGTAGGCCTCACTTAATGACCATAACCGAACTCAAAATTTTGGTCATAATTCGTTGCGGTCATTAAGTGGTCATCATGTGACCTTACTTAGTTTTACAACCATTTTAGTACAATTGTAAAGTGAGTCATGGTTGTTAAGCAAATCACGTAGCCATTAAGTGATTATGTGCTTATTAAAGAAATCCATTCTCATGAATGCAAAAAATGTCAGAAACAGGTTTAAAAAGTCACAAATCATTGTCAAATGACTGCAGGATGCTGTAAGCCAATTGCCAAGCATCCAAAGTGTAATTATGTGATTGTGTGTGTTTGTGTGTGCACAGGCAGTCATAACTCCAAGAAAAGGTCATAATATTTTGAGATCCATTGTAATTTCAAATGTTGTTAAGTGACTGGTCATCAGACAAGCACTACCTGTAGGTTTATTTTACCTCTTGTGTAATTTATTGCTCTTTATGCAGATATATATAAAGTCAGAATGATGCAAGTTTCGTTTTCCAATTTTAATTTAGCAGGAAATTGAAAATGCTTTGTATCCATTATGGGAATATTGATGATTAAGCTTGTGCTGTTGTTTCTTTCTTCTTACTGTTGGTCCATTTAACCCATGACTGTGGTTGATAATAACTATAAAAATGACACATTACCCTCCTTTAACTACTGTCCTTCTCAATCAGGATTATTTTTTTTCTAAAGTTTGAACAAGTGCACTTGTTCACAAGTACACCAGGAATTTTTACAAACATGAAATTATTGAAAAACTAGACACTAAAGCAAAAGCGACTTTTAAAAAATAAAAACATGCCAGATATGAGTATGTGCATGTATATGGGCAGAAAAAAACACAACTGTAATTTTAAAGACAAATTCAAATATTTTAAATATACTTAATATTTCTATCCAGAAATTATCAATATCACTAATAAATTATAACCAGATTAAAATATATTTATGCTACATTTTAGGATTTTTCAAAACTCTTTCAAAGATGTGAGAAGAAGCCTTGTCCAAAGCAGTGTGCTTTCTACATTTATTTAAAAGCCCTTTTTAAACATTAGAATTAGGTGAATTTTACTTGATTGCAATACTCTAATCAATTGAGGTATATCTTGAAGAAAATAGAGGCATGAAAGAGGAATATTTTCTAAACACATCAAAAGGACCTACTCTGCAATTCTGAAAGGCAGAGTTCTGATGCAGTCTTAAGTATGCCCCCGTTTGTGAGCATTTTTTGCTACTTCACTTTAGCATGATTTGCTGCATTATTGTGGACCAAGAAAAGTTTTGAAAAACTTTTCAAAATGTCTGGCAAGCTGTTAATCTTTCTATTTGTTTTTGTGGTGCTTAACTGTGTATCCAGTTATATTGATCATATTTTAAACATTGTGATAATCTGAAAAACAGCTCTGATTAAGTTGCAAACTTTTCCATCTGATTTGGAGTGCCAATAAGCTTTCCTTATCACTCTACCCGAAAAATATTTCCAGTGGATTTGAAAGCTTCCACATTACTTTGTAATATTTTAGTTAGATCCAGTTGAGCAAGCAGATTACAGTTATATCAGAGGATGTTTCTACCTACATCTCTTCCATTACAGAAAACTGCAGCCATATTTCTATCTATAACGTTCTGGGTTTATAATCATTTGCAAAGGCCAGAGGACTGATAAATAGTGACTGTTTTTATAGTTTTGTCTTCTAACTAGAAAAGGCAAGATCTGTGACTTAGGATATATTAAGGCTGACAATTGGAAGCTACACACATCTTCTCTGGTTTCTCTATTCTCTAGCAAATGCTTCACTACCACATGAACTGAAAGAACCATATCTTTTTTTAAAAAAATCAACATTTTCTAGACAAATATTCCAGTCAGATATTTCATAGATGATCTTTATTCAGTATAAGAATTGGTTTGTATTGTTCTGTTTCATACATGTTTTCATACATGTTCTTGCCAGAAAAATTTGGGTTCTTCATAGAACTTGTGAATTGGTGACTCCCTGTAGGGCAGTGGTTCTCAACCTTCCTAATGCCACGACCCTTTAATACAGTTCCTCATGTTGTGGTGACCCCCAATCATAAAATTATTTTTGTTGCTACTTCATAACTGTAATTTTGCTACTGTTATGAATCGTAATGTAAATATCTGATATGCAGGGTGTATTTTCATTGTTACGAATTGAACATAATTAAAGCATAATGATTAATCACAAAAAAAATATAGCAATGCTCGCTGGAGAAGCTTACTCTTCCTTGCTCAGACATGTTGGGAGGGAGGGAAGGGGAAGGAAGGAAGATTGAAGGGGAAAGGAAGGAGATGGAGAAGGAAGGAGATTGAAGGGAAAAGGAAGGAAGGAAGGAGAAAGAGATTGAAGGGGAAGGGATGGAGATGGAAGGAAGGAAGGAAGATTGAAGGGGAAAGGAAGGAGATTGAAGGGGAAAGGAAGGAGATGGAGAAGGAAGGAGAGAGATTGAAGGGGAAGGGATGGAGATGGAAGGAAGGAAGATTGAAGGGGAAAGGAGATGGAGAAGAAAGGAAAATGAAGGGGAAAGGAAGGAGATGGAGAAGGAAGGAGATTGAAGGGGGAAGGAAGGAAGGAGAGAGAACGAAGGGGAAGAGATGGAGATGGAAGGAAGGAAGGAAGGAAAATTGAAGGGGAAAGGAAGGAGATTGAAAGGGAAAGGA